CCAATATAAAGTACGCATTCTTGTTGTACTCCCGACCATGCGACCTTGTCCAATTGCACGAATCAAATGTTCAAATTACGACGGTTGCGAAGTCGAAGTGGATTATGTTGGTAGTTAACCAGTGGTTCCTAGCAGAGCGGCGGCCGGCCGCCGCCATGTCATTGACTCATTGTTAATTGTGTGCTCCACCGTTCAAATGAGCTGTGAGTTATTAGCATAATATATATTAACCATCATAATCGTTTAGTACTCCTACGTTCGTTGCACACGCATCGCCTTGTTTGTTTGGCATAAAAGAAGGACGCACTTGTACATGCCAAGTCATGGCTCATGAGAGTGGTTGGTTGAAGGCAAAGAAACAAAGACTACAGAATAATGTTGTAAAAAAAAAGGTGTGTGTGTGTGTGTGGTGGGTGGGTGGGTGGTGGGGTGGGGGGGGGTAGAGAATAAGGAAGGAATGTATTACAGCTGGGTTGTGTATATATATACACACGTTGACTGCTCAGCCGCGGAATTGTGTTGGTTGAATGTGGACGCATGTGTGACCTTGCCTTGCCACTAACAACTCCATAACTTGATATATACTAGTAGTAAACTGAAACTAAACAAAAACTACATGCAATTTGCAGGCATGTGTGTTTATGGACGTTGGGTTGACTGTTGAGGATAGTCAAAAGGAAACATGCAAGCAAGCAGCTAGCTGGGTGTGGTATTGGATACCCTTTGTTGGCACTGGACAACTAGTTTTGGATTTGGACAAGAGCCTGTGGCCAGAGAAAGCTGGTGCGTGGTTCTTCCGTCGCGGAGCGGATGTAGACAGAAGCAAGCAGATCCCAGCTCTCGTAACGCACCTTTCTAGGGTCTGTTTAGTTCTCCTCCAAAATATAAAATTTTTAAGATTCTTCGTCACATCGAATCTTTGAACACATACATAAAGCATTAAATATAAATAAAAAATAAAACTAATTACACAGTTTAGACGAAATCCACGAGACGAATCTTTTAAGCCTAATTAGACTATAATTAGACACTAATTATCAAATAACAACGAAAACGCTATAGTAGCGTTTTGCCAAAAATTTTGACAACTAAACTGGGCCCTAGGCTCTTTTGGGCGGCTGGCTGTACGTATGCAGATGCAGTGTAGCGCTGCGGCCCCCAAGAACCAAGAGGAACTTCTCATGTCAAGAGAGCAACAACAACGGCGTGGCGACAAGGAGCTGGCTGCGCTCGGGTCCGTCGTCTGCGTGTGCTGTTTCTGTCAAATGCCATGCAGTGCTCTCTTACGGTTGCGGCCCGGGCAGCAGCCTAGTTTATGTTTATGATTTATGAAGCCGGCCTGTGTATACGTTCAGCGTTGACATCTTCACTTCTGTGATCCGTATGCTTCCACTGCTGGCATTCGGACGGCTTACATAATATCAGCAATGAGTTGCCTGACAGAATGTCTGGAGTGATAAACTAGCCAACTAGGCTGCCCAGCATATACTCCCTCCGTCTCAAAATAAAAGACGTTCTCGTTTCCCGAGAAACGACTGTCGGCAATTATATATTAAAATATATAAATATTTATACTAAGTAATTAGTATCATTGAAAAGATCTTTTTGTCTAGTTTTTTAACAAATTTATTTGAAGATATAAATATTGCACGTATTTTCTACAAATCGAGTCAAACTTGTGGCACGAAAACCCAAAACGTCTTTTATTTTAGGACAGAGGGAGTATGTACGAGCAGAGTTATCGCTGCGCCTGAATGCCTGATGGAATGAGGGTGGCGCATGCAGGGGCAGAGCCAGGAATCAAACATAGGGGGACAGCACAAAAAAATATAGTTTTATGTGCACCTGGGAAGAACCAAGAACAAAAGGGGAATGCTTTGCAGCTGGGCGTGGGCAGGAGGCAGCTTCCGGCGGTGACGCGGCGTCCGACGTGTCTATGTCCTATCTCCGCTTCCTGCTCGTATTGTGCTGCTGTCGTGCTGTGTGCGATGCGTTCGAGACGAGAAGCCAAATAGTCAAGGAGATTTTTTTTTGAGGGAAAATAGTGAAGGAGATGAAGAGGCACGTTGCGGACGGAACAGAATTACAGAAATACGGCTACTCGTCTTCTCAGCTTCCTCCTAATTGGGCTGCTGGCTTGCTTCTATCATGGGCTCCAAATGGTACTCGGAACTTGGGCTTAGAACTAAAGGGGGCCAGAGCCTATAAGGGCACTCACAATGTAGACTCTACTATCGAGTCTAAGCCTATTTATCACCCTCATATTTATTATACTTTGCTGATGTGGCAGTCTATTTATTGAAGAGAGGGAGAAAAAACTAGACTCCAAGTCTTATTTAGACTCCAAGTCTATGATATCTTCGAGGTAATAAATGACTTAGACTCTATGGTAGAGTCTGCATTGTGAGTGCCCTAATTGTGCTAAAAGATACATGTATTTAAGTACATGATAGGGAATTAGCAAGCTCCCCCCAACAGGAAAACATGCCGCCTCATTCCTCAGCCCATACCGGATTGCGACACAGCGCATGTCCCCAGTGAGGCCACGGCATGTGACCTGTGGGCGCGACCGTACGTACGCGCGGTAGCTTTTCCGCACCAACAAACGCGAGCCGATAATTGCCACCGCCAAACTGAACGTATAGAAGTCCAACGGGCCGGCCCGGCCTGATGGGGTTCGGGCCGGCATGGCACGTCGTGCCTACCGGGGCGTGCCGAGGTGGGCACCGTGCCTAACCTACGGCCCAGGCACGGCCTGTTGGGCCGTTTATCGGGTCGGGCCAGCCCGAGAAGCACGGCCAGTCCAGCGTGTTGGGCCAGCCCGGGCCCACGATGAACCGCGAGCAGCCAGAGAGAGGGGGAAGGGGAGGAAGCGCGAGCAGCCAGAGATGCAGTGGCCGCCGACAACCTTGCCCTCGGGGGCCTTGACACCGGCGAGGAGACGGAGGGGGCGTCGGCGTCCGTGGTGCAGAGGTGGGAGGGAAAGGGAGTTAGGAGCACGGTGCTCCGGATCTCCACTCGAACGCGCCCGCCGGGTCTCTGCAGCCCGCGGAACCCCCCGCCGTTGTGGCCGCCGGAGTGGAGGCGGGGAGGGGGCGTCCCGCGCGGCATCGACAGCGCGTTCAGGGCCCAGATCTAGGACCGTGCGCGAGGGATGCGGATGGGAGAAGCTACGGTCTGCGGCGCTGCGCGAGTGATGCCGGAGGGGGAGAGGCTGCAGCGTCGCGCCTGCGGAGGGATGTGGAGGGGGGATGGAAAGGGAGTTAGGGATCAGGGGGTGGGTGGGGGTGGGCCGACTAAGGGAGCAGGCCGGCTAAGGGAGCGGGCCAGCCTTAGGGAGGGGAGGAGGAGTGAGGAGGGGGAGGGGGAGGCCGGGCCGCTGTCGGGCCGACCGTCGAAGGTCGGGTCGTGCCTTGCCAGCCCATGGGCCTGAGCTGCGGCCTAGGCATGGCCTGCTCCCTCAGACCGAGTCAGCCTAGGCTCGCTGACCATCGGGTTGTGCCGTGCTTGGTCCAGACCAAAATTGCGTGCTTCGTGAGCCGTCGTGCCTCGGGCTGCATGGACATTTATAACTGAACGACAACGAAGCCCGTGGCCCGCTCGTCATGTCCCGGTCCCGGGTAGGGATGAAAACGGTCGGAAAACCTCTCAACCGTTTTCTACTTCTACATTTGAATACAAAAACGAAAACGAAAGCGGTAAAGCCGGACACGAAAACGAACACGAACTTACGGAATATCAAAAATTTCGAAAACGAACTAATTCGAGCGGAATTCTGTCGAACACGATCGGTATACGAAAAATCAATACGGAATATTGACTCGTAGGACCAAATGCATAACAATGAAAAAGTACATAATAATTAACAAGTCCTACAACTTTCATAAAAAGTATTTCCATTCGACACGACGTAACGAAGATATGATTTTTTTAAGGCAACAAGCGCTCGTACGCGATTAATATATCGCTGACTTTGTTTAATTTTTTTTGAACATCTTCAAGACATGAAATGAAAAACTATCAACTAGAAAGTTGTAGATCTCGTCGAGAGCTACAATTTTCATATAAAATCATCTTTATCCGAGATCGTATGAAAAAGATATAATTTTTCTAAGGTTAGACCTGCAGTGGGTCGAATTTGGTTTAAATCGAATTTCAAATTCAAGATATTCCGAATTAAAAGTAAAAAAGTAAAAAACGGTCGAAAAAATGTCTAAACCGTTTTCGTTTCGATTTCGAATTTGGTATTCCGAATTTCAAACCGAATTCGAATTTATCCGAAAATACGAATTCGATCGAATTAAATATAAAAAATGATGTGGTTCGATAAGGGATATTTCTGTACCGTTTTCGTCCTTAGTCCCGGGAGGCATTCTGGCAAGTGGCCCCGAGCACCCCTCCTAGTCTGTTCGGGAGGCCGTACCGTATCGTAGATTATTTACTGCTAGTTGGTTTGATGTAAGAGAAAAACACCGTTCCTGATTGAAAATTTCCTATCGTTTACGAGCAAGCGGCTAGTCCAACACTCCAATCCGTAGCCCGTCGCCCGAGAGGGTCAGCGCCTTGACGAGACGAGACCGCCCGTCCCCGTCACGAGATGCCCCCAGCGGCGTCGCGACGGCGGGGCGATGGCCGAAATCCTCGAGCGCGGCGCCGCGCGCGGCTGCTGCTGGCACTGTATCACTGCTGCTGTGCGAGACCCGTTTCATTTTCCCACTGCGCGCCCGTGAGCCCAACCCAACCACGGCTGCTCCTAGATGAAAAAGCGCCCGGCACGGCACGGCAAAGCGAAAAAGCGCCGGCGAGCAAAAGAGAGAGCGAGCGGGGGAATCGGGTTGGCGTCGAGTGGTCAGCCTGGCATCCCTCCCCGACGAGCCAGACGGACTATTTTTTTCCTCCTCACCCGCACTGCCACTGACTGCACGCTCTCCGACTCGGCGACTCCACTTTGCCACTCCCGCGGTCGGCGGTCCCCGACACCGCCTCCTTCGGCGGGCTCGATGCGGCGGCGCCTCGCGCCGGCGCTGCTCCTCGCCGCCGCGCTGCTGCTGGCGGCGCGCCGGGGCCCGGCTGTGATCGCGGCAGGTAAGCGCCCGCCGATGGCACTCGGCCCGCCGCCGGGTTCCCCTTCCTTCCTCCCTTCGCCGCTCCTATATAGGAGTATTCGCCAGCTGTCGCGCGCGCTTCTCACCGGTGATCGCTGTCGCTGGGTTCTGGAGCCTGATAGGGTGGGTGTCGTGGGGGTGGCGGCGGGGACTGTGCTCGCGGGTGGAATCGGAAGCTCCCTTCCCTCAACCACAACCAGTGCTTCCATTCTGTTCTGCTCTTTGCTTCCCTACCTTGGTGGTGATTCGTTGAGTTGATGAAACCTTTTTTCCCCCGCTTTTTGCTGGAGATTTTCTGGTGACGATTCTGCGTTTCGTCCAGATTAGTTCTCGTTCCCAGAGCTGCATTTTGATGAGTAGGAGTATGTTATTATAATTTTTTCTTCCTCCTGAGGGACTGTGAGGGTTTGAGACGTGGTCAGTCACCTCGCTGGGGAGTGGGGGATAATAATGCCAGAAGTTGTTCGCGTCCGCCGCATGTGTCGTCTGCTAGCGCTTGGAGACGGAGTCCTCGCGCCATCAATTCACTTACCTAATGGGGTTGCTGTACTGCGCCGGGTTAAACAGTTACCTGTGCGCCTGTCGCGCCTTCATGCCTCTCTCGGCTTGCTTTTGTAGCCGTTGGATTTTGCTCTCCGCAGAACCCCCGTCCTGTCATTTGGCGTTACTGAAGCACTAATTTGTTTTGACTTCACCTTCACCTGATGTTTTCACGTGGGCTGTTCAGACTTGTCACTTGTGCTCTACAATACCGCTGAATATCTTGAATGGTAGTCATAGTCCACATTCTGAATACCTGGTATAGCACGTCCCATAGTCCGATGAAATCGGGGGATCGGATTTGGAATTTATTGCATGTTCTGTTGGGCACGCAAGATATATCTACCTTGTACTGGTCCTGAGGATCTGAGGCATTCACTTCAGTTTCTGTTTTCTAAGGGCCTGTTTAGTTTCCAAAAAAAATTTTGCGCAATCTTGCGGCACATGCATGGTCTACTAAATGTAGACGAAAAAAAACTAATTGCATAGTTGGGTGAGAAATTGTGAGACGAAACTTTCGAACCTAATTAGTCCATAATTAGACATTAATTGTCAAATACAAACGAAAATGCTACAGTAGCCAAAACCCAAAAAAATTTTGCATCTAAACGCGCCCTAAGATGCAATTCGTGTCATCAACAGAAAGAGCCAGCTGCACGGCTTCATTGCAGATTTTGTTCTTTCTGTGCAATATCTTCCCCAGTTTCAGTAAAGATGTGGAGTGTTACGATGGTCTTCAAAAGTTATCTATTATTTTTTTTCTGTTTTCTTGTATCTATACATTTGCAGCACCATCCATTATTCAATAAATCATTTTTCATTCGTGCAGATTGTCCCTTGGATTTGAGTTGGCCCAACTACGGACTGATAGCTTCAGTGTGCTCGGACCAAAATGGACACTCAAAGTGTTGCCGCTACATCAATGCTGTTCTTGCGGTCTCATCTGCCATGTATGCAAACACAACAGGCACTCTTGGGGTTCCAGCTCAATTTTCTGATGCCTGCATTGCCAATATCTCTGATACATTGGTGTCGAAGGGGATACTGCCCACTGCCGCTTCGTTTTGTGGCCTTGGGATCAAAATTCAAGTGTCCTATCAGTGTGTTGGGATGACCACCATCCATGAGATGTTGCAGTCTCCGAATTTCAGCGATGTCACAAGAAGCTGTGAAACTACACTTTCGGATGATATCACTTGCAAGAGGTGCTTAAACTCTGGTCTGTCGTACCTCCGCCATCTTGTTGGGGAACAAGATAATGTCACGTTGAATACCTGCCGTGATGCTGCTTTTGTTGCATTTGTGAGTCAAGGGAATATATCTACCGTTGATACGGCTGGTTGCTTTTTTAGCGTTCAGGGGCTTAGTTCTCTTCAAGGTTTGGATATTTGATAAATCAATTTGCCTTCCTTTTCTGTAGAATGGCTAGTGTCATGTAGGAAAAAATTTCTTTTAGATTCTGTTATCTTAGCCATATTACCTTTTCTCTCTCCTTCTCTTTCAGTTAAGTGGATCACATAATGTAACCTTAACACAAAAGCCCGCACCTCACAGAATCATTTCCTAGTTTTTTCCCCATCGCTTGATGCTTGCACAGATACAAAATGATTGCTGTGGATATTTCTTCTGGTTCAAACAAGCTTATCATACCAAATGATCGCTCTGAATTCTGTGAAGCAAGTTTACCCATGATAGTTTCCTGTATAAATATTCAACAATAGGTATCCATTTTAATCTAAACATTCATAATAAGCATATATTAGTATCAATGTTACATTTAGCTCTTATTGTAATATATAGTTAAGCACGAGCATGCTGCTTTTTTTTAATTTTGCATACATTTTCATATTAAAAAAACTATTTCCATATATTGGTTGGTAAGATGAAACTATTGCTTTACAACTGCTTTTGTTATGCAAAACTGTAGCTGTATTTCTTATACCTATTGATTTGCTTCTTTAACGATTTAGGTACTTATGTGTATTAAAGTGTGTTCTCGAAAAGTATTTGTTTGTTGTGGTTCTGTAGTCTGTACCTTGACCTTGTCCAATATGTTGAACTTCTCATCGTTGAATATATAATGCAGCGAATATCTCTGGACCGGCTCCAGCTGGACTTGCCGTGCCAGATATTTCTCCTAGTCCACTTACGGTGCAAGTTCCTGTAGTGCCACCCAAGCATCATCGCAGTTACAAGCTTGTTCTATTCCCAGCAATTGGAGCTTTGGTTACTGGAGTAGCAATTCTACTAATGATAGTACTGATTTTCCTAATCCGTAGAAAGAATAGAGAACTCAAAAAGTTGGAAGGAAATAACCCTCTGGAGGCATGGAGTTTTTCCTGTGTCAAGAAGGGCCAAGAAGGTAAGGATTTCCTGACTTTTTATTGTGATATTGTAATTCTTTCACGAACCTCTGCTCATTTGGATGTCCAACTGTCTTGGATAATTTAACGAGGTTATATGGCATATGATACAAGTGCTGGATACTAGCATACTACCATTTCTTTGTGGCTTGATTTTGGATGACGCAGAATTCATTTATGGCTAAGGCAAACATGAGGGAAAGCATGAGAGCCTAAAACAAGTTAATATGTTTGGCTTCTTCCATGCTGTTCAAATTTTTAAAAAATCTACCATGTGCACAGTAAATGTCAATATCTCAAGTTGGTATACATGGTGTCCCTTTTGTACTCATTATCTTAAATAAAAAAACACCTATGAGGAACTAGGTGATTTCTAATTTAAAAGTAAATAGACACCCAAATTCAAGACAAAGAGAACTGAACTTGGATGGGGGTGTACAGACTCCCATAAGCTGAGCTAGGCTCAGTTCCTTTCAGTCATTATCATGAAGCTATCAATAATATGGATAATAATGATGTGGTCTGGATTTTTCTTGCCACAGTGCATTGTACTAAATACTATGATGGACTTCCTGTAATTTACTCAAAACCTTATCCTTTCAAAATAGGATAGATTGATGTCACAGGCTTTATCTTCAAATCACTTAATAATCAGAATCAGTTCAAGAACCATTTCAATTTATTTGCCTAACAGAATTTTTTGCAGGCAATTCCACCATTTTTGGCAGATTTAGTTACAAAGAAATGAAGAAAGCAACAAGGAACTTCAGCACAGTGTTAGGAGGAGGTGAAAATGGTACAGTATTCAGAGGACAACTGAATGATGGATTTGTGGTTGCTATCAGTCGCGTTGATTGTTCACCAAAACAAAGTCAACATGAATTTTGTAAAGAAATGGAATTTCTTGGGCGATTGCATCATCGGCATCTTGTTGGACTAAAAGGCTTTTGTTCAACAAGATTTGAGAGGTTATTATCTGTCATACTTAAATTCAGATATCCACCGATTTATGGTTCTTACAGTGTTTTGTAATCCAGGTTTCAGGTGTATGAATACATGGAAAATGGAAGCCTTCAAGATCACCTACATTGTAATATGTCATGTTTCGTTCTCATTCTTCTGATGATGCATCATTTGTTGAATTTGTATGCTAAAAAGCATTTTGCTCTTTGCAGCGCCGAGTAAACACCTGTTACCATGGAAAAATAGGGTCCAAATTGTCATCGATGTTGCTAATGCTTTGGTGAGTTTCAGGAAATCTGTGATTGTTTCGTTCTTTCTGCAGAAGTCAGTGATCGTGATTAGCAAGACTTAATAGTTGTTTCTTATAATTCTGTCAATGCACGCGAAGGCTAAATCAATCTTTACCGTATTCCCTGTCGTGACTAAATATATTTCAAATTTTATGTTTAACTTTTTATGATGTTTGGTTGCAGGAGTACCTTCATTTTTATTGTGATCCTCCACTATACCATGGAGACGTTAAGCCTAGCAATGTCTTCTTGGACAAGAATTACCTTGCAAAGGTAATTCATACAGAACTTTGTCACAATTTACAATCCTATTCTGCGCATCCCAACCGTTTGCATTTTGACAGCTTGCTGGTTGTGGTCTTGCGCACCACTCTAGTAGTGGCAATACAACTCCCAGTCGCACCCCAGTAAATGTCAAGATCCAAGCAACTCCTGGTAAGGCTCTCTTGTTTTCTAAATTGGTGCCTTTTGCTCTGTCAGTTTTTAGATGAAGGATGCTATATTTTGAATGAAATAAGGTTCCGACCTCTGCATCTGACTGTTAAGCTGAAGCACTCAGCCATTATAAATAAATATATATACATAAGAATGGTAAGAAATGCGAAAGAATAGAAACTTAGTGCGCACGCGTCACCATGTCAAACCTAATGTACAGGTCAAAACCCACCTGACACTCCTAAACTCCATTTTTTTTTTTTTTGCGAATGCACTCCAAATATTGGAAAGCTAGCTATTGTTGCACTGCAACCTGTGATCTCTCACCACTGAGAGAGGAACAGAACTTCTTGGAGCTGTCATCATTTAAGATGAGGGAATGGTCTCTGGATTTTTCATGGCATTTGTGATTTTTTAATCCCACAATTTAATTTCACCAGTACTGTACTCTGTACTAGTATCTTTTTTTATGCAACTCTGTACTATTATCTCAGTAGTAATGTATATAGCCAAAATCTTTGAGCAGGCTACGTAGACCCCGAGTACATGGTGACCCAGGAGGTGACCACGAAGAGCGACGTGTACAGCTACGGCGTGCTGTTGCTGGAGCTGGTCACGGGGAAGCCGGTGATCCAGGACAACAAGAGCCTCGTGGAATGGTCCCGCGAGCTCATCGGCACGGACTACCGGCTCCACGAGCTGGTCGACCCGTCGGTGGCGGACGCGTTCGACCTGGACGAGCTGCAGGTGGTGGCGGACGTGATCCACTGGTGCACGCACCGGGACGGCGCGGCGCGGCCGTCCATGAAGCAGGTGCTCCGCATCCTGTACGAGCGGCTGGACCCGCTGTCCGGCCGGTTCGCGTGCGCCGCGGAGGGCGAGGAGGGGTACTACTACTGCCACGGCGGCGGGCGGGTGAAGGGGAAGCAGGCAGGCGGCGACTTGACCCAGTTCAGCGGCGACACGGCGCGGTCGTGGCTGCCGTCGTCGAGCAGCACGTCCAGGTCGCACTGCAGCCGCAGCGTGCTGCTGGAGTGCAACTCGCCCGAGCCGGAGTCGTCCCCGGCCCACGGCCACGCCGCGTTCTTGGCCTGATAAATACCGGCCCGTCACCGTGTTGCGTCCGTTTTTTTGGTCTGCACTGCACTGCACCCACCGGCCACCCGTTGCGTCGACAGTTCTGCAGGTCTGGCTGATGCGGTGCCAGCTGCCATTTTTTTTAAGGAGACTTCGTGGTTTGGCCCTGGTTTAGTTACAGCCCTAAAATTTTACACCCCATCACATTGAATATTTAACACATGCATAAAGTATTAGATATAGAGTAAAAAATAACTAATTGCGCGGTTGCGACTAATTTACGAGACATAATCTTTTTAAGCCTAATTAGTTCATAATTTGACAATAAAGTGATACAGAGAACGCATGTGCTAATGATGAATTAATTAGACTTAATAAATTCATCTCGTGATTTACTAATGGATTTTATAATTTATTTTTTTATTAGTATTTGAACACCGATACGACACATCTCTTTATAACATTCGAGGTGACATGCTCTGTGTAACATTCGAGGTGACATCCTGGAACTTTACAGTCGGATCTAAACAGGTAGAGATCGATCCGTGCACCGTTCATGGTGGTTCGTGATGACTGATGAGTGACGAGTGACGACTGATGGATCCTGTTACGAGATCGGGAGGGCCAGTGGGAGCCCCTGCATGGCTGCATCGCATGAGAGTCATGTGGAGCCAGAGGCAGAGAGTGATGGGAGCACAACTGTGCAAGAGAGCTGCCACGCGTGAGAGTGACTGGACTGCTGTCTTTCGGTTCGCTTCCCTAGGTGTTTGTGGTTGTTTTTATGAATGAAAACGGATCGGATACGGGTGGATATCACCGATATTACATTTGTTTTCATATTTCTGTCTAGATTCGAAATGTGTCAACTATGTCGGATAGGATATGATTGGATATCGACATCATAAATATGCGATTTGAGTATTCGGATACAGATACGGTATCGGATGTTAGATATCCGGACTCGGATACGGATAGATCTCAACCCCTCTAAACAGATTCGGTTTCAAATACGGTCGGAAAATATTCGTATCATTTTTATCCTAGTTGTTTTTCATTGATCACTGCATTGATGTGCTTCGGGAACATGGCTACGCATTCAAAGTCGTGACACAGATTTCACTGATACTCCTACTCCAAGTGTTCCGTACTGCTCTGTGTTTGAGAGCGTGGTGGCGAGGTGGGTTCTCGGAGAGGCCTGCCCAAGTTTCCTGCGAGATTTTTTGGCTGCTGCTCCAATTCCCTTTAGAGCATCTCCTAGAGTATGTTTGGCTTTTGCTTTGCTAATGTTTTCACGATTTCACCTGCTTGCTCGTGGGGCCCATTATGGGTGTATGCCAAGTGGGTCCTGGGAACTCTGCATTTTTTGAGAAAAGATTCCCAAATATGCCTCTGCTTTCCTTTATCGTGCACTCTATGTTTTTTTTAACTATCCGTCCTTACTTTTCGAGAAGTCAACTATATTCATATTGAACCAAATTTATAAAAGTATTAATATTTGTGATACATAATTAGTATCATTAGATAGATTGCTGAATTTATTTTCATAATAAACTTATTTAGAAATATAAATGTTGTTAATATTTTTTTATAAGTCAAACTTTAAAAATTTGATCATCCCAAATACCATAGCAACATTTAAAAAGGGACAGATGGAGTATGCCTCTGCTTCCCCATCGTCACAGGCATCCCTAATGTGATACTCCATGAGGATGAGGTTGGTCACCCTGCTTGCCACGCCGCCATTGTAGCTTCGAAGGGTCCGGTCATTCTCATCCCCTCCCCTAACTCCGTTCACTTCCCCGCGCTTGCCGCCATGTTCCCTCGGCATGGTCCTCACTACCACCAACCCGCTCATATACGCCGCCGAGATTGCTAAGCAGGTCACCGTCACGCACTCTGTCGTCGCCTTCACCACAGGTCCTAACCACAGACAACCTCCTTCCCAAGCTCTAGTGCAGTGGTGGTAGCCTCCGCATCATGCTCCTCGAGCTAGACCGCCTCCTCTCTGACCCTAGGGGGAGATCTCTGCCATGAGAGGGAATCATGAGAACGATGACCTTGTTAGTGGGCGCTACATTGCGGGTGCAGGATGTTGCATTGTGGCTGCAAGTCGAGGGCCTAGTGTATGCTACATTCATGGATGCAACCGATTTGGTCAAATAGGTGGATGCATGCTTTGAGAAAAAGTGCTATCATGCATAAGGGATATGCAGGGAACTAAATGACTGGGCTTTTGCACTACGGCGTCGTGGATAAGGAGATATACATGCATCTAGACCTATAAGTTTGTTGAGCTCCTTTTTGAAGAATGGATCCAAATAGGTAGCTCTAAAGATCAACAATCAGTAAGAATTATGGTTCTATAAGCCGTTTGTGCTGATTTATACGACTAATTTGTTAGGAGAGAAAAATATTGTACAATGGCTGATAAAACCGGCTTATAAGCCGACTTATAATGGCAACCGAACAGAGCCATAAGACTGTCTCCAACAGGAACTCATATGGGCACCCAAACCTAAAATGGGTAGCAAGAGACCAAAAATCAGCCTCCAACAGAGTACATATACGGAAGACCTATTTTGGGTTGCCTAAGAGGCACAACCCAAATATGAGCACCCTCTCTCCTGGAAACCCATTTGCAGAAAGGATTCTCTTTTGGATCTTGTTGTTGGAGAAGATGCCGAATAGGTATTGAACATTTTGCCTGTAGCGCTACCCAAAGGACGAATGAGTCTTGTATTTTGGGCGTTGTTGTTGGAGATAGCCTAAATAGCGTGTTGTAGCTTTTTAGTAGGGCTTTCTACGATATTGCCGAGTGTTCCATTAATAACGTTGTAGCTCCCCTGAATACCGATATTTGGCTTAGCCACGAAATATATTTAGCACCGCTAATATTGACCTAGGCATATATTCATTTTACTCTAGATAACTATAATTTATGCCTCTTCATTCTGTTCATTAATTAATAAATGATGTAATGAACTACAATATTAAATAAGTTTTGAACTATTTGATTTTTAAATGTTGAATGAATATAAATGTTGATTATAGCAGTGGGCATGTTGAGTAAGTAATGGACCTAGAAACATGTTCCCCGGAGTCTTGCATATGTATTTGAGTTTTTGTGTTTATATAAAATTTTCTTAATGACATGTTTTTTCTATATAATTAATTAAGAATTTTTATATTTTCTATAAAACAACTAAATGAAATAACTTCCATTATATCTCGCTATAGCTTTGCAGCTTTTAGAGGAGGATACTGTTAAATGTCACAACCCATGATTTTAAAACATGATGAGAATATTTTTTTAATAGAAAACCACATTATTTCTGCCAGCCAAATAGGCAACCAAATAAACCATGTTATTAAAACCACATCGGGAACTCTATTTCTTGGCCTTGTTTGATACCATGTATCCACCTCAAATCCTCAATCCATGCATTGAAGTGAGTTGGAGACCCAACCTAGTTCAACACGCATGGATTGAGGTCAATGTTATCCTAAACGTTATATGGTAAACAATCGGTCACCTTTTATTTTACGTTTAAGGTGTTTACACGGTGTTTAAACGGAGTCAAATGAACTAAACGGTTTTGTATAGTAACACTAGAATATATATTTACGTATGTAAAAATTAAATATGCTAAAAAGTATACACATTTATGCATGTAAAAAATAATTATTCAAACCAACTAATTTTTTGTGAAGCAAACTAAACCGTCACTCCACCTCATATACGTACAGTGTTAATTAGTTGGGTGCCAAATACAGTAGTTGCAATCCTCCTATTAACTAAATAGTGAGTTAAATGGCCGTTTAGCTCATTTAATCGGGTTTAACGTGACTCGGTTTAAACCGGGTCCAATCGTTTAATTTACGTTTAGGGCCTACACGACACGGGTGACCACCGTCTACCATTAAAACACTGTTAAAACGGACTAAACGCCCTAAACAGTATAGACGACCCGACCCGTTTTGACTGTGGGAGGCCAGGGCGAGGGGTGGTGGTGCTCCACCACCGGAGGACGGAGGTCGTCAAGGGCGGGCATGATCAGCTGAACACGGACGCACGCACGCGTGCGGCGTGCCTGGCTGCCCCGGGACCGTACCGTCCCGTCCGTGCGCGGGCCGGGGGTGGTGACGCCTGCGCCGCGCCGTGGGGCGCACTAGCCGCAGTTCCACCCACCACGTCCACATGCCAGCAGCCAGATCCCGTCGGCGTGCCCGCGGGCCGCGGCCGCAGCCTTGCACCCTTGCCGTTGCCGTTGCCGCTGCCGGCTCCTGTCCCTGGCGCGCGTGCCGTGGCAGGCTGCGGAGGTGAAGTCACCGTCAGATCGGGCGATGCCCCGCCGGCTGACACGACAAGGCTGACCTCAGGTGCCGTGCGCGCGTGCCTGCCGCCAACTGAGGCCTTGTTTAGATTGCAAATTTTTGCAATCTGGATACTGTAGCATGTTTCGTTTGTATTTGACAATTTTTGTCCGATCATGGACTAACTAGGCTCAAAAGATTCGTCTCGTGATTTACAACTAAATTGTGTAATTAGTTATTTTTTTTACCTACATTTAATGCTCTATACATACATCTAAAAATTGATGTGATGGAAAGAGAATAAAAAAACTTGGAATTTTGAGGGTATCTAAACAAGGCCAGAATTGCCAGGAAGTGTGGCGTTTTCCCGGCGAGTTTATCTACCGCGATCGAATCGAAAGTATTCTCCGGGACTGTGCGCATCGACCGCGATTATTATATTATTATCAACAGGAGGAGAAGTGGAGAACCGACTGGATCGCGATCACGTGACCCTAGATCGATCGAGCGTCCGGCAAACAAGTCAGCCAGAGGGTCAGAGATCTCGTCGGGGGATTGAGACGCGCGGGCGCGGCGGCAATTTGTTTCGGGATCAGGGCCGTGGGGGGCGGCATAGCGTAGGCGACCGGAACCTCGCATCGCATCGGTGGAATCCACAAGTCAATGCTGCACCGGCACGTAGGGATCGTGCATGGCTCACGACACGATGCGGCCGCACGCACGCGGTCTGCGCCGCTGCACGGTTTGGCGCGGTCCGGCCCCGGGCCGTGGGACTGGGGAACGGTCGCCCGCCGCGGCGTTGCGCCAGAAATCCGTACGGGCTGGCTGGAGACAGGAGAGCCCTTGCCGTGTGGTATCTGATCGTCGGTGCAGCACTGTGCTCTGCACGGCTGCTGCGTCCGGAAAGCTAAGCCGGTGCTTAAGCTTACTAGCACGACGGACGCGGCGTAATGAAATACGTGCCGGTGGAGCACTTTCGCGTCACCTGAAAGTGCAAGAGGAGGAGCGGGTGCAAGTGCAAGGGGACAGAAAAGTGTTAAGGGGAACGCAAATCGGCCGGATCAGATAAGACCGAACCCCAACCTTAAGTGCACTGGACGGACGGGTTGATTTGAAAAACAAACAGAGGGGGAGCACACCAGCAGAGTGTCTACTCCAGATCAGCCAGCTAATACCTGGGCTAGTGGGCTGTGTAAACAAACAATTCCTCTAGCCGCCCGGCGCCCGGCAAGTAACCTTCACATGGGCGAGCGGGCAGCAGGGCGGGCGATGCGTTCTCCTGTCATCTACCCGACTACCCGAGTGTCCCACGCCTCCCACAAAGCGCAAAGCGGCAATGCCGCCATCTCGATGCTGCTGTGTTCAGACCGTAGAAACTCGGCGAACGGAAACTGTTAGGTGCCGGGTTGCCATCGAAACCAAAACCATGATCCAGTCTCAGTCAGTCATCCAGTGCTGCACGTCTCTACGAGCATCCTCCTCCGACACATCACACATGGTTTGCCTTGCCCACCCGGGCCGGCAGCCCGGCACAGCACACGGTTCAGGTTCACCGACCCCGGACCCCGAGACGCGCCCCTTCTGAAACGCAGGCCGGCCCAGCGGAGAGCGAGTCGTGGGCGCGCACCACTCCTGGCCTTACTTATACCGCCCGCTGACCTGACCGAGGGGCACGGCACCTCCAGCTTTCTGTTCTACGACCTGCAGTGCACACGCAGGTCGCGACCGACCACGCCCCCCGCAGGCAGCCGCGATGCAGCAGCAGCACCAGCAGCCCCCGCCGCACCGTCACGCCAAGACGGACTCGGAGGTGACGTCGAGCATGGCGGCGTCGTCGCCGCCGCGGGCAGCCTACTACGTGCAGTCGCCGAGCCACGACGACGGCGACAACAAGACGGCCGCGTCCTCCTTCCACTCCTCCCCGGCGGCGTCCCCGCCGAGGTCGCTGGGCCGGGCGTCCAGGGACTCCTCCTCCTCCCGCTTCTCCGCCAGCGCCAAGAGCGCCGGGGCCGGCGCCGGCCCGGGAGGCGTCGCCGTCCCCGGCGGGGGGCGGCGCCGCAGCAGCCCGTGGAAGAAGGAGGCGGCCATCGAGGAGGAGGACCTCCTCGGCATGGACGACGACGAAGACGACGACGCCGCCCACGGCGGGCTCAGCGGGATCCCCAAGCGGGTGCGCTACGCGCTCGGCTTCGTGGGGGCCTTCTTCGGGCTCTTCTTCTTCTTCGCGCTCATCCTGTGGGGCGCCAGCCGCAACCAGCGGCCCGTCGTCACCCTGCGCGCCGTCACGTTCCACCGCTTCGTCGTGCAGGCCGGCACCGACGCGTCGCTCGTGCCCACCGAGATGGCCTCGCTCAACGCCACCGTCACCCTCGTCTTCCGCAACACCGGCACCTTCTTCGGCGTCCACGTCTCCGCCGACCCCGTCACGCTCTACTACACACAGCTCCAGCTCGCGTCCGGCAATGTAAGCATGCAAGCGCCATTAATACATACTACTCTTCTTCTTTCGACCTTCTTCGGAATTTTACATTACAAGTACAGCAGCAATCTGTTTGCAAGGTTTCTAGGTTAATCAAGCTGTTAGGAGCAGTGAAATTTCAGGTTTTGCCGATAAAGTGATGTTTAAATCTAGGGGCTAGGAGTGTCACCGTCAGATGTCTTATGGGGTGTTAGAGAAGTGTTCGAATAGTAATAATAAAATAAATTATAGAAGTTTTTAATAATCTACGAGATAAGTTTATTAAGCCCAATTAATTTATCATTAACATATGTTTACTGAAGCACTACATTATCAAATCATGGATTAATTAGACTTAAAAAATTTATCTCACATATTAGTCAGCAATATGTGTAATTAGTTATTTTTTAATCTATATTTAATACTTCATAAATATATAAAGCATCCGATATAACAGTGACTAAGCTTTAGAGGAGGAACTAAACATTGCCTAAGTCTCCTAAACCCCTAGTAGCTGCATCAAAATGCATATTGTAAGAACAGAACAGGGTACCGATTTTTCAGTCTTTATCTTTGCTTGTAGCAGTAGATATGGAGTGCTTGTTTAGTTTCAAAAAGTTTTCAAAAAGTGTTGCAGTAGCCATCGCATCGAATCTTGTGATACGTGTATGGAGCATTAAATGTAGATGAAAAAAAACTAATTGTACAGTTTGGTTGGAAATTGCGAGACGAATGTTTTAAGGCCAATTAGTTCATGATTGAACATTAATTACTAAATAAAAACAAAGTACTACAGTAACAAATTCCAGAAAATGGCGAACCAAACACAGCCGGACTACAGCTGCACAGTGACATTGACCCGAGCAACACGCGGTAGCAGTAGCCAGCCGTCGATAGCGACTTGCGACGGGAACACGAGGCCAGAGTCACCGGGTCCGTGCCGTGGAAACTCGAGCAGACACAGCTCATGCCTTGCAGTTTCCCGCATCATAGCTGTCAGCTGTCACCCAGTTCACTCGCGTCGCGTTCCTGCAACCCTGCATGGCATTCGCATTTCCAGGGGCAATTTCTTCTCTTTTTCTTTCCTGCAAAGAAAGATCCTAAAATTTGACCGACGACGTCGTGTTGTGTTGCATGCATGCAGATAAAGTACTTCTACCAGTCTCGGAAGAGCCAGCGCAGCCTGACGGTGGCGGTGGTCGGCGACAAGGTGCCCCTGTACGGCGGCGGGTCGGGGCTGAGCAGCACCCCGACGACGCTGCCGCCGCCCAAGAAGCGCGCGCCGCCGGTGGTGGTGCCACCGCCGCCCGTGGCGCTGCAGCTCACGGTGCGGCTGCGGTCGCGCGCCTTCGTGCTGGGGAGGCTGGTGAAGCCCAAGTTCTACAGCGAGGCCCGCTGCAGCGTCACCATGGACCAGACCAAGCTCGGCAAGCCCGTCTCCCTCAACAACAAGGCCTGCACCTACACCCACTAGCGGTCTAGCTAGCTAATACTACACGCCTGCTGCCGTCGTGCATCGCCGTCGCCGTCGTGAACTTCGCCGTTGTTCTTGAATTCTCCGCTCTCCATCGTGTTACACTGCCTTCGTGCGTGCGTTATATTTGGATTGGATGGGAGCACTGTTGGTCGGTTGTCTTTGTACAGTACAGATAATTTTTTTTTTTGGTGTTGGAGAGTTTTGAGTGAGGCGTGTTTGTTTCGCTAAAATTTGACTTATGTTGATGTTGGTGCTGATTCGTTGCGAGAGAAAAACACTGTTCGTTCGCTGAAAAACGAAATAGTTATGGAACCTTTCTTGATCCGGCGTGTGTTTCCGATCGAGTGCATTCCATGCCGTGGAGGGCATGTAAAAATGTCGGTGAAATTCAATGCGCTCGTAGCAGACGAAAAATTTTGGTGAAAGACGCGTAAAATTCCCGACGGCAACATCCACTTGTTTGGATCTTTGGACCCGACAGTCACCGGAAGTGCTGGAATGAAATTTGGTCTCCAACAGATTAGATCGATGGCTCCAATCAGCAACCATTCAGCTCACTGGGCGTTTTTGTTCTTCATGTAGATAGATCTGATTCTAACAAATGTAACACAGAGCCCCCCCTACCTCCGATCCTAAAAGAAAATAACCACAAAGCCAGCCGGATCTGAGATAAATGAGCGCATCTGTATCACTGTTCCAAAGTTGCAGGTGCACGTACAAGATGCGATGCGAGTGATACATTAACTAGTGCAGTACCCTGTTCTAGCGATCCTAGCGCATTGGAACAGGCAGGGGTTCAGATGTGTTGAGTGAAGGCGTCAAGGGATGGAGCTCACATGGACACTGTCTCACTCAGACAGGTCAGTCAGAGATTAGAACGTGTATGTAATGTATCCTACGATGGTTCTCAAGGTAAACCAATCGTGGTGGAACTCAGTTTTTGCATGATCAAACACCAATCTAGGAAAAACTCGTCCAAGCTACTCGGCGGCTCTTGGAGCATAACTTACAGAGTATCTTCCAATGAGGCAAGAACAGATGAAAGGCCATCACTGAGTTAATTGCTTTCGCAACAAATCATGTGGACCACTGCAAAGGCTGACGAGAAGTTTAGCCAACAACTCTCTTTCCATGTCTTTTCTCAATCATTTACCCCCAAAGTGATACAACAGAACTGCAGAAGGATACAAACTTGGAGCATTCAACTCCTCAATACACAAAGCGGCCTCCATTTCATCTTTTGCACTGTAATATCGTCTCAACATTAATATATCAAAGGATGCATCGATGCTTCGTATGTGAAATATACATACACCGTGAACTTAAACATATGTATCAATAGCAAACAAAGTGGTGACGGTTCAATATATGGAAAGAGAAATATTGATTCAAGAGTTATCCTCATGATTTAGGCGCGAACTCTTTCTAGGGAAAACACCACGAGCAGCGGTGAGACAAAATCCACTACGAGATGAAACCAACAAGAGAGGTGTCGGTGTTTTTTTTTTTACCACCGGCGACTAAATTTGTATTTGCGCGTCTGGCTCGGATGGTGCGCTCGGAGGACACAAGGATTTATACTGGTTCGGGTAGAACGTCCCTACATCCAGTTCGCTGCTGCTCGTGTTACCGGCACTTGGTTTGCAGTGGGTGTTACAAATAGGCGAGAGAGGAAAAGTATCCCAAGTCTCTGGTGGAAGGAGTGAACGGGTGCTGAGAGTTCGATTGCCGCTCAGCCGTGTGCTTGTGTCGTGCTCTTGTGTTCCAATCTCTCAGCGTGGGGCGCCCTGCTTTCCCTTTTATAGGCGAAAGGAAAGCGCGGGTTACAGAGGAGGAAAATGAGAAGAACGAGAGAGAAGAAGGCATCCAGGATCCAGGGTCGCCGGGTCCTTCTTCTCCTTCATGCGGGTCCCGCTGATCCTATAGATGTCAACAGGGAAGGCTCCATGTCGCAGGCCCTGTTCGTCACTGGCGCCATGCGCAGGCGTCATCTGCCAGTCATGGCGTTCCACTCCGTCCCAGCGGACGTCATGGTGAACGACGCGCCTGTCAGCGTCTGTACGAGGATTAGACAGAACAGCACCGGCACATCTGACACTGTTCTTGATATGAATCCCCAGGTATAGCCCGTCAAGGCCACGGGTTACATCGAGGCATGCCAGCCTCTTTCCTGGCTTCAGAGTTTTGACCCAGACCCATACACTTGGACCTGGAGTGGTTGGCGGCGGTATGGGTCCCTGTCGGACGAGACGGAACCCGCGTCCTCGAGGTCGGGTGAGACGGAGCCCGCGACCTTGGGTGGGACGGAGCCTGCACCCAAGGGACGAAACCCGCGTCCTTGGGGCCGGACGAGACGGAGCCCGTAGCCTCGAGGTCGGACGAGACGGAGCCCGCGTCCTTGAGGTCGGGCGAAATGGAGCCTGCGTCCTCGAGGTCGGACGAGACAGAGCCCGCACCCAAGGGGTCAAGCGAGACAGAGCCCGCGGCCTTGGGGTCGGGCGAGACCTTTTAATACGTCTTGAGCCATCCGGGGATGTTAGCATGGGTGCTAACTTCCTTGCTTTGGGTATCCCTAATATCGATACCCGACAAGAGGGGAGACCCTATATCTCAAATGAATTTTACTCTTTATAGTTGGATTTGGTGGATCCATTCTCCTCTCTAATCCTAATTGATCATTTGGTAGGGGTTAATTAGAATGAGGGAGTGAAAATTTAGAGGCAGGACTTTAGAAATCTTTTTTTTGTTTCATGGGAATAAAGTTTTTGGTGGGACGAAGAATAGGAGTTTAGAGGAACAACTTCCACCAATCACTTCCTGGTGGAGAGGTGGTAACTGAGTGGGAGTTGTGCTTTTAGTAGAAGATAATGCATACTCACCATCCATAATGACTTGTCATATAAAATTTACACGCCAAACAGTTGATATGAATTCCATCTTAAACTCCACCTCTTTATTTCCTCCATGAAACAAACAAGGGATTGAGACTACAAATCAAATTCTCATCTTAATTATTCCCTCCGTTCACTCCCACCACTAATTTGCATGCCCCTTCCACACAATTACTAAATGCATCGTAAGACCCTCAAGTGTGAACAAGTAGATAGCGGAGTTTAGTGAGGCCCAAAGTGGGACATACCCCCCTAAGCTAAAAAATCCTTAATGATTTCCCTAATTCTACCGGTTTAGACGCTAATGAAATACTAACATGTTCCCTGTCATTGCATTTCATATCATATTGGCCCCCTCTCCTTTCATGCTCAAGCTCTGCCATTTTTAAAAAGCCATTTGAATGTGATCTTGTATTGATGGAAAGGCTAAAATGACAGTATTGCAAAAAGCCTCTAAGTCTATAGATGTTGCGAATAAGCCCTTATTTAACCTATTAAACATATGAGAAATGTTGTGCATGACGTATTAGCTTAATAGGCATCAAATGGTGAAATAGGAGCTACTACAATTGTCCACCTCAGGGACAATTGAATCATAGGACAAACACATCAAACCATCCGACTGTGCCTGCGCTCCCGGACATCGTCGACAACCCGGCTGCATCCTCACCGAGACGGCGTCGTCCCTCAATTCCTCATCAAGTGGTCCGGCTTCGACGACGACCTGGCGACATGGGAGGACGCCAACGTCATACGCCAGCAGTTCCCGGCAGCACCGGCGTGTGGGGACACGCCGTGTCCCAAGGAGAGCGGGTGTCAGCACTCCTCACCCTGCGAGCACGATGAAGCGCCAAGGCCCCAAGCGTGGAACCAGGAAGCGGGCCAAGAACGCTAAGCTCTATGGGCCGAACTGGGGTTGCAATCCCTGTAGTGCCGAAGCCCATGTGGAGAGGGGTTAAAGGATAGCTGAATCGCTTTGTATCGATCTTCAAACAAGCGAATACAAAACGTAACTATCGGCGTCTTCAAAAAAAAAAAAACTCTCTGCCGACCGGCTACCTACTTCCCCTGCTCTTCTTCCCCAATCCTCTTCTTCTTCTCCGATTCCTTTCCTCTGCTCCTCCTCCTCGCCGCCGGCGAGTAGGAGGCTGACATTTCCGCCCGCCATGGCCTCGCTCTCCTCAACTGTCGGTTCCAGGCCGTCGTGTGGGACCCTGTAACCAACAGCCGGTGCTGCATAGATTTTCCGCCGGAGTTCAAGATCAATAGCAACGTGAGAGTCTACCATGGAGAGGTCCTGAGGGATTGTGGCTCCAGCGCCTTCAAATTGGTCATGATATCCTACACTGTTTTTGACCGGACTGTATGCGCGTGCATCTACGATTCGGAGTCAGGAAAATGGGTCAATATCATCTCGACAGCAGCATTTCCCGATTGTTTCAGTCCCAGTGTCCTGGTCGGGAACACGATTTGTTTACTGGTTGATTTGCCATAGGAGGGGAAGCTTCCTTCAGATTGATGTGGATAGGCAGAGTTTGGCCGTGATCCAGATGTCAGAGGACATCATCCCTGTTACTGAAAGCTCGCATGTTCAGGCCTTGCGGACAGGAGACGGAGGACTTGGCTTTGCAGTTGTTTCAGAACAGAGAATCCAGTTGTGGGGGAGGACTGTCATTTCGGGCCATGTTGTTAGAGGTGTGTTGCATAGAACTGTTGAGTTGGAGCAGCTCCTTTCACTAAGACCGTCAATGGAAACACATAAACCATCGATAGTGGGGTATGACGAGGATAGCAGTGTGATTTTCCTCTGGACAGCTATCGGCGTCTTCATGATCCAACTTGAGTCAATGAAGTTCACCAAAGTTTCGGATGACACCAGTATCCAGGGCTATTTTCCCTTCACAAGATTCTATACTGCTCGTAATAGCTCGTCTTTGCTTTTCACATTGCACAAGTACTGAGCGAAATTACTTTGTCTATGTCATACAGAGATGTCGTTCCTTTGTCTATGTCATACAGAGATGTCGTTCCTTTGATTAGTTCAGGGTGCCTAAACAGCTGTATATATTTAACCATTCATTGCATTTTGTTCTGTTTATTTCTCAA